TCAGTGGTTGAATCCTCTTCTTATGAAAATAGTTCTCAGCCATAAAACAGCATCGTCCGCTACAGCGGCTTTGCATTTAATCGCGCCAAAGGCCCCAGCAACTCTGTGGGTTGTTCTTCGATCCTTACACTAAAGCTCTTGCTCTGAGCTTCGGTATAATGGATGCCCTACACAGTTTCCGGCAGGTAAATTTCAATCCGCCAGATATTTTTGCGGCTTTCGGTAATAAAGCAGCTTGCCCTACCTCCCCATACGACATTGAACTTATCTTTCTATCTTTCAGCGAGGACACGAACGCGGTCCATGTGGCTGAGGAGGCGATGGTGGCCGAACATGGGGCCATAAACGGTGATGTCTCTGCGCCTTCACCCCCCTTCTCCCCAGGCGTTGAGCCCCGACTAAGTCTTACTGCCGTTGCCCCCTCTACTGCTGCTATCCCAACGGACACACAGAATACGCCTAGTCTAAACACTGACCACCAGGAGACGGTGGCAATGGAATCCGCGGATGCTACTGCTACAGCTGATGCCGGTCCTCAGGGTATATGCTCCAAAAGTTCTATCCCGTTTTCTTCCGATAATTTTCATTGAGAACTCTTTTTGTGACTGGCAGTACACGAAAATATGCGTTTTCAAGCAACAGTTCAACTTTCAGCATTATCTGGGAACACGAACGACTGAGAAAAAAATGCGATCACTTGAACAAACCGTTTATTGACCTGATGATGCCGACATTCTCACAGGGTTTAAAACTGCGCGAGCTCAGTACTGCTTGAGTCTTGGCTCTGTGGCCCGCAGTCAGGTCAGTTCAGGTTTATTAAGGGAAATATAGGCAAATGCCTTTGAACTCCCTATTGGTACAGAGCAGCTATGAAGTATATTGGTTCAGCAGAACATTTCAAAAGAGTGGCGATGCCAGTAAGTGGAACTGAGTAAAAAGAACAGACAGGGAAAAACTCCTTAGACATTATTAGGAAATTCTAGAATTTTGAATGCCATTTGAGGGATTTTAAGGAGAAAAACTGTCGTTCGTGTGGGGGGAAGTATATGCGAGATAGGATGGCCTGCTGCTGAGATTGTTTGAAGCATGTCAGGAGGAGCCCATCGCGGTTTTTATCAATGTCCTAAGGGTCACATGAGAAGATCGCAGAAGTCACGAGAACATCACCGAAGTGTCGGCAATGCGTCCAGCATACGCCCTTGCTTGTTGCCGAGTCTGCCGACCAGGGGACGAAAACGATCCGCCACGATCCTCAGCAGTCAGTTAAGGAGCACCATTAGGAAGAGATTTACAGGGCCGTGTAGCCTAGTACCACAAGGTGGAGGCGATGATTGAAGCGATCATTGCAGTTCGCATAGAGACAAAAGGGACAACGATAATTCATATTGGAAGGATTACTTGCACGGGGTTACAGTACTTATCGCGGCGGAGCACCATTCCAGGCAACTCAAAATACGCTAGTGGACTGCTTTCTGGTTCTGAGTCCTTCCAAACACCTCTCCAAAGAACAATGAAGGCTAGCTGGCTACTGTATTTCTGAGGTGTATTTTCAAAGGTTTGCTCCTTCGCGAAGGGGGGCAACGCAGTGTACGAGGTAAAAATTCTAAACAAATACTATTGAAAAGTAGTACGTTTTATAACATGTAAATACTAGGCTGTGTCTTATAGCGGTTGCCTTGTGCTAGTCTCAGCTGACGTGGTGGCTATACTATAACAAGCGCAATGACCTGGCGGCTCCATATTCTGTGCGGAGAGATGGCCTAGGCAGAGTAATTAGCCACACGGGGGGAGGGGGCGGTAGACTCGGGCGGCCAAATTTGTCAGTGACAGTGGGCCAGACTGCCAAGTCATCATCACGCCAATAACCGAGAGCGGTGATTAACTTTCGACAATTAACGACTTGAATGCGGACTAACGAGCAATCATCGCATCATGGGCGACTACCAGCGATGGAGGGAACCACAACAGATGCGTCTTCACCGGTTTCCCACCCG